CATACTATTTTTATCGTTTTTTTTTAAATAATAGATACTACTCTAGTGGAAGTATTATACTTCAAATATCATTTGCTAATTTTCTTCTATGGGGTTTACCAATTGGTATCATTATGCTTGTTCTTTGTTGGTTATGGCTTCAGATTGTATACAATCGTAAAGGGTAAAATAGAATTATATATACTGACTTGTTTTTTTCATTACACAAAAAATATAATTTAGATTATTTCGATGCAAAAGATCGAATGAGAATGAGACTGAATCTCGAAGAGATTTACAAACTCTTCTCAAACAACAGTATAAAGACTTAGGTCCAGTGAGTTGGCAAGAAGGTACTGTTTCTGTTCTATTCGTCATCGTAGTCCTTCTTTGGATAACACGTGATTTTTCAAGTGTTCGTGGATGGGATGCTTTATTTCGACCAAAGTAAAACAATTGATTGTATTTTAATATTTTTAATTATTTTTCTTTTTTAGTTACGTAACGGATGGAACGACTGCGATACTGATTGGTTGTATTCCATTGATTTTTCCCAATAAAAATCCATTTCATAGTAAAAATATTATTTGAATAATTACGTTTTTTTTTATTAAAATTAATTTATTTTAGATGACTGGGAATATCATCCTATTCTTACATGGGATTTATTATCAAAATCATTTCCTTGGGGTGTATTCATGTTACAAGGTGCAGGTTTAGCAATTGCACAGGCTTTCCAAGTATAGATTTTTTGTTAATAGGAAGTTTAATTTACTAACGAGAATTATTTTAGGTATCAGATTTATCAAGTACTATTGCTGCTTTTCTTCATTTTATCGTTGGTGCACCACAAACAGCCATCATTTTTTTTGTTATTTTAATTAGTGCTATCTTTACTGAATTTACAAGTAATCTTGCTGTTGCTACAATCTTGTTTCCAATTTTAGATAGTATTGTAAGAAATATAATTATTTTTACGTATTTATTTGATTCATTTTTTAGGCGCGAACTGCAAACATGCATCCAGCCTATCTTATTTTACCATGTTGTATGTCTGTTTCATTAGCGTTTATGTTACCTATTGGTAAATTTTCTAATCTTTTAAATAAGATGTATTTAAATTGTATTTTGTTTTTTTCTAGCTACTCCACCTAATGCAATGATATTTGTAAGTGGTAATATGAAAACTAAAGATTTAGTTAAAGCTGGTATTGGTGCGAAAATTATTGGTATTCTTGTCATTTTTTTCGCCTCAATAGTCTTACTATCACCTATATTTCATATTCATGCATTAACCACGAATCTCTCAAATAGCACATTAACAGGCAATATCACAAGTGGCTAACAAAAGTACGAATGTTACTCATTGTTATCATCATATAAAACAATGAAATACTGATTTTGTATTTTTTTAACTGTGTCAAAATATTTTCTAGCTTTAAATACCAATAAAATACTATTTACTGTTATGCACAACACTATTTTAGAATAAAAACTGATGATATAAGATCATCATTCTTATAGTTACGACATTGTTATTAATAATTGATTTATTAGGATGTGTGTGTAAATAATCTTCTTGGTCACCCACCCACATCCAGTTTTTACAACTGTTTGATGCCTTTCGCGCTGACTGGGAACTATACAAAAGTTATCTACCGATCGAATTCGGTTAACCGATATACTGTTAGAAACCAGTAAAAGGTGAAAGATGATTTCTCTATACCAAGACATCTCCTCAACAAATACATGTGGGTTTTTATATGGTCGTATGTATCACGTCAGTTAGTCATCCACACTCACACTCTTTTGTAATTTTGTATATAATAATATGATTTATGTGTGTGAGTCACGTGCAACACAGAATGTAATTTCACAACACTTAAAAACGTAAAATAATGGTTTTTCTCTAGTCATAGCAAATCATTCTCTTCAACTTTTTATGGTTGTTTAGACGTATTCATCGCATCAAACAGGACGAAGAAAGAAGCAAATATAAATTTTATGACTATAGTTAAACATCAGTCGCTATTATTTTTTTTCGCTCTACACGATACTGCGTCGTTAAGACAAAAATCAACTTGAGGGTAAGTGAATAAGAAGAAAGAGAAGATATATATCCACACGCAAAGGGAATCTATCTCCTACACATCCTGAACTACTCAGACTGTTATATCTTTCGGATCTGGGTTTCCGCGAAAGTCGTGAAATGCATGTAATCATTTGTTTTGTTAATTTTAGACTAGATTCGTTCAGCTAAAGTATAGAGAAAGTTTCTTACAAAATCTTTGACGCGAGAAAGAATGGCATTTAATGTTACTTATGCAGACACGCTTCATCAACACGTTGTGATGTGGGTCGATCCATCGATTGGTGAAGTAGGTGACAATGAAAGAATGAAAGAACGTTTTCGTCGTGTTACACATCCATTATATACCTTTATTGATGCTGCGTCAGCCGTCAAGTTTATTGAAGAACAACGTGATGCTGGTAAAACTGTTTTTCTTATAACTTCAGGCCGTTTGGCTCGTGAATTAGTACCACAAGTATATGATTTTCCATGTGTTATTACAATATTCATATATTGTGCTAAAATAAAAGACTACATAGATTGGGCGACAGATTACATCGAGAAGGTGCTTATGTTTGATTTTGATGAAGAATTACTTATTCGATTAACTAATGAGATCGCTAATTATTTGGAAGAAGAAGCAAAAAAGTATGAAAATAATGGTAACGTGGAAAGTGCCTCTGGATTACTTGATTGGGCTGCTTGGTTATATAATGATGCGAGTACGTTAGAACAAGCTGCTTGTAGAGCGATTCTTGAAAATATTAGAAAACGTCGTCAGAAACTTAATATTGATCATCAAATCGCGCATCCTAATCAATTCAACAATCAATAATTCATAGTTTTTTTTCTCATATTTGAAATAAAGAAATTTCATAACAGTAATGAAAAAACTTTCCACACCCATACTCTCAAGATGTATTTTGAGATATATTCGAATGTCACGATTGTAAAGCTGTGTCGCAATATCTCGAAAGTATTGTATGTTGATTTTTGTTTTTATAGCAGACGTTTGCGCTAACACATTGTTAACCATGAAAAGTTTTGCGTTCTGCACGCCACCATGGACTAACTAACGACACATACATTTGCTCTCAAATAGTCTACTGTGGAGAAAATATTGACTTTGTATAATGTATAGTAGCTAAAGAGTCCTTCTCTTACAAAAATACATTGGCTTTCTCACATTTTGAATATTCGAGTGCTAATAGGCACAGTGTGAAATCACAATTTTCAGAGCTATGGTTCATATTTACACTCAAATATTCCTTTTCTTCGTCTTTCACCAGCATACGTAAGACATGCATTGACTATATAAAATTTCATTACTCTTAGCAAATATTGAGTAATCTTATCTTTTTCAATTCTTCAAGCTGCTTTGAATCTGTCGTCAATCTTGCTTTGTATAGAACTACAGAAGAAGACAAAAATGAATGAGAACGAAGAAATACATAAAATTATTTCTTCTCATTTTCCAAACGAAACAATAGAAAATATTCGATTACCATCAAAATTAGGTTGTGATAATATTATTTATTTAATTCAATTTTGTTCGAATACCATCGTTATTTTTCGTAGACCATTAAAACTTGATTCATCAAAAACTTCATCTGAGTTTAAACTGAATTCGAATGACAATTCAATGCCTTATTTTCCTATGCACCGACTTGGACATCAAGCATGGGTACTTGAATTACTAAAACATCAACAATTTTCACCAAAACTTTTAGCATTGAATCCTCAAAAGAATTATTTAATCGAGAGTTATATATCAGGTATTTATTCTTACATGTCTTGAATCTATTTCTAAACAATCTAATTTAGGTCAAGATTTAAACGAATCTTCACCTGAAATATGTAAAACATTGGGTGAATTTCTACGTGTGTTACATTCAATCGAAATGAAACAATTTGGCTATATGAGTGAACAACCGGGTGTGGGTGTTTATTTATCATGGTTGAAAATGTTTGAAACAGACTTTAATAATCTAAATGAAAATCAGAAGCAATTAAAAGAAATTTATTTATCTATGATACCTTATTTAACTGAATTTAACAACCCAGTTCTTATTCATGGTGATTTTGCTTCAGAAAATATTCGTATTCTCAATGGACATTTAAATGGTGTGATCGATTATGCTGATTGTCTTTGCGGTGATGGTCTATACGATATCGGACGATTTTTATTGTTTATGAAAGCAGAATGGAAATATGTTGATGCAATTGCACAGGGTTATAAATTGTCGAGTAGTGAGAAATCGTGGACAAAAATTGAAAAACAATGTATTCGATTTTATGCATGTTATTTTGCTCTGTGGTTGGAACCAGGTGATGAAATTATGGAAAAATTGTTAATGCCAATTCCTGATTGAATAAAGCTAAATAATATTAAACATGTGTGTCTATCTTATATTTTGTTTAAGATTTTTTTATACGCTATTTTTCTTTGATAAAATGGGTTGAAAGTAAGTTTAACTGTGTGTATCAAAATTAGTCCAATGGTATTGTGTCAGAAATTATTAGTTTTATCTTCTTCTTCTATTTGTCTATACTTTCTTAGTAAAATTTCAGTTTAAAAAAGTCAAGATTTGCAGTTTTTCAATCAGCTATTGATATGATTTTGTCTCTTAAATATTCCCAAGAATAGAAGCAAAAAAAGGAAGCTAATTGGTTTTTAAAATGATGATAGAATTTCGTATAATACAGAATTATATAGATTATTTCAGATAAATGAATACTATAAATGACTTTTGTTATTTTTTATTCGGGCTGAATGAGGGTGTGGGTAGGTATGGGGGTCTTCTGCAATTTTAACCACACCCACACCCTCAAAAGATTGGGAAGGACGACACTTAATCGCGAATTAAAACTTTCATTATTTTCCTTCAAAAAATATATGTGAGTTCTACAAAAAATCCTGTTGAGGTAAGTTACGTATAACAAAGAAAAATCAATTACAGTTCTTTTGTGCCGCTTTAACATGTTGTTTATATATATTAAGATCAGGGTGATTTGCAGGTAATGAATGTTGTGCAATATCCAAAGCTTGTTTATAAAGTTGAAGTGCTTTCGAATAATCACCTGTCGCATTATACACCAAGCCAAGACTGCCATAAGATTTACTTAGAACAAGATCATTTGGAGAAAGAACTATTTTTCTAATGTCTAAAGCTTTTTCATGATAGGAGAGCGCTTTCGAATATTCGCCCATCTTGTAACATATATTACCAACATTGCAATAAGACACAGCCAGATCAGGATGATTAGGAGGAAGAGTTTCTTTCGAAATCGCGAAGTCTTTTTCATAATAAAAAAGCGCTTTCGAATAATTACCCATCTTATCGTATACGACACCAATATTGTTGTATGTACTACCCAAATGAGGATGATTTGGAGGAAAAGTGCTTTCCAAGATTTTAAGCGCATTTTCGTGAAATGGCAGTGCTGTTACACACATATTCATGTTGCTGAGAGCCACACCCACACCTGCACAGGAACCAACCAGGTCAAAATGATCTGGAGGAAGAATTTTTTGTCGTATGTTTAGGGCTTTTAAATAAAATGAATAGGCTTTTTTGTGTTGACCCATATTGTTATAAAGCAAACCCATATTGTTGTAACAAGTTGCCAAAAGAAGATCATTTGGAGAAGAAGTCTTCTGTTGAATTTCAACCGCTTTTTCAAAATACGAAACCGCTTCCGAGTACGCATCCATCTTTTCATAGGCGGAAGCAATATTATTATAATAAGTCACCAAATCAATATTATCTGGAGGAAGAATCTTTTGGCTGATTTCAATTGCTTTTTTGTAAAATGCAACTGCTTTTGAGTACTCGCCTATACTGCAATATATCCCGCCAACATTGGAATAACAAACCGCCAAGTTAGGATGATTTGATGGAAGAGTACTATCACTGATTTCAAGTGCTTTTTCATGAAATGAAAGCGCTTTCGAATAATCCCCCATTGTATTCATTATCTTTCCCATAGAAGCATACGAAGCCACTAAAAGAGGATAGTCTGGAGGAAGTGTGGTTCGTAGGATTTCGTAATAATCAAGCGCTTTGGAGGGATGATCCATCTTTTCGCACACTCCTCCCATCTTCCTGTAGAGAGTAGTCAACAGTTTGTAGTCAGAAGGGATATTTTTTTGGTTGATTTCAAGTGCTTTTGTGTAATATGAAAGTGCTTCCATGAATTCGTTAATTTTTTCATTTACTAAACCAATGTGGATGTAAATAGGAATTAAATTAGAATCATTTTTGGAAGAGCTTTCTTGAAAGATTATAAGTGCTTGTCGAAAATAGGAAAGTGCTTTGGAATAGTCCTCCATCATAAAATACGTTGCACCAATATTGCTACAAGAAGTAGCCAGACCAGAGTGATTTGAAGAAAGAGTGTTTTGAAAAATTTTAAGCGCTTTTTCATAAGATAAAACTGCTTTCGAATATTCCCGTGTTTCGCTTAATATCCTAGCCATTCTTGTGTAAGATGTAGCCAGATCAGAATGATTTGGAGGAAGATTCTTTTGCTGTATTCGAAATGCTTTTTCGTAATTTGAAAGTGCTTTCGAAAAATCACTTAATTTCTCAGACGCACGACCCACATTATCGTAAGAAAAAGCTAAGTCAGAATAATTTGAAGGGAGAGTTTTTTGTTTGATTTCAAGTGCTTTTTCGTAATACGGAAGTGTCTTGGAGTAATTGCCCATTTTCTCATACGTCTTGCCAATGTTGTTATAAGAGATAGCCAGATCAGAGTGACTTAAAGGAAAAGAATTTTGCAAGATTTCTAGTGCCTTGTGATAATATACAAGTGCTTCTTCGTGTTCATCTAATTTGTTTGACATTGTGCCCATACAGGCGTAAGAACAAGCTAGATCAGAATGGTTTGGCGGAAGAATGTTTTCTTGTAGTTCAAATACTTTGCGGTAAAATGAAAGTTCTTTTGAGTATTGACCCATTTTGTTATACACTGAACCTATGTTTTTGTACATAGCAACGAAATTGTAATCAGTTGGAGAACGAGTTTTCTGAAATATTTCAATCGATTTTTCATAAAATATAATTGCTTGTTCATATTCTTCTTGTTCATCCTTAATTGATCCAATCTCATAGTAAATATTCGCTTTCTCATTTTCATTGTATATATGATGAAGTAACGCATTACACACTGCCTGACCTTTATCGAACTGGCTAATTTCAGCTAGTAATGATGACAATCGATACAATCCTTTTTGATGAGACAATGTCACTTTTTGCGTGTTTTGTGTAGAACCAAGTAGTACCACGTCCTTCTCGTTATTGTTAGTGAAAGCCAAATTTACCTGCCAGAATCGATCATTTTTATCGATTTGTTCTATTTGTCCCACATGAAATGTAGAATGCACAGAGAATAAGATTTCATCTTCGTCCGGGTGAGAACTGACGTCCCTAATGTCAGCGAAAGGGATTGAACGGATAGAGGGATCAATAGTTATTACAAATAAAATACCCACATCATCGGATGTTTGCATACCATGATGAGCAAAATTGAGAGACACTTCACGATTTTTACTGGTCGATAAAAAACGATTAAACGATACCAGACCACCTTTCGTTTTCATGAGTTGGTCAAACGTTCTTAGAGGCAAACGTTGTCCACGATAAAACGTGAAAACTTCAACTTGCTGATGTTCACCATATTGCTTAGAATGCAGCCGGACGATATGTTCATGTAGATCACGTATAAAAAAAACCAGTTTTATAACACTATCAACTTCCATAGTGTACAATGCATTGTTGAGCATGCGATAAAGAAAATACTCACACGAATACCACCAAATAGGTGTATGTTCACGATATTCTTTTTCAAGTTTGTCAACATTTTTTAATTGATTCGTGTTACCGACGAACCTTTCTCGACAGTAAGCTATAAATTCTTTGATATGCCGATCTTCAAAATCGATTGTCAATAAAATATCCTTCATTATCTGTTTATACTTGAAAGATTGATCAGTTTGATTCTGATTTAAATCTGTCATGTCGCCACTCGCACTAAGGAAACTCATCGAAATGATGCTTCGATCCCATTCATAGAAAACGGTTTTTAATGTTTCGCAGAGTGAAGCAATATCTCTATAAATATTTTCAACCTTCAACCATTTTTTAATCCATTCTTCCTGTCGATTTTTCTCTGTACAAAAAATATAAATGGCACTAATTTGTGCCATATCATGGACGATAGGTACTATTTTTTGACCAAGAATACCTGATAAGATAATGAAGATTTTCGTTTGTTTGTTTTCCGTAATAAAATCAACACATTTATCAACGGCGGTGAATGTGTTTATCGTATTTACCACTTGTCGTAATTTAGTTAAAGTGTTACGACAGCCATCATTATTGATTTCATCAATATTCTCATCCAGCCATATGACGAGGAAATTTTGTGCCATCTCCGTAGTAAACAACGAATATTGTCTTGCGTTATTGTTCTTCGAGGATAGTGGTACGTGTGTACTTTCCGTACTCTTTCTTGATCGATAATAGCACTTAATTGTGCTTCTTCGTAATCTTTATTGAATTAAAAAATAATTATAATTGTACGTGTTATCAATATGAAATGATAGAAAGAACTATATTTAAAAAACAATAATACAATTTACTTTTAATACTTATACACAACTTGATACTGTAATAGCAAACCGCATCATTTATTTTAAAATAAATGATTTAGTTTGAATAGAAAGCGAGGCATAGTAAAAATTAGATATGCACAAAAGTTTGCCTTTTATCGAAACACGTTTCTTTATTTGTTTGATTTTTTATTTTTGTATAGTTATAATTCGTCTATCAAGCAGTTCTTTTTCCATTCTCTTTTGTACAAGAACAGTAAATTTTTTTATATTTGCATAAAAACTACGATCGTAGGATTCTAACAGAACATGAGAAAGCGAAAGAAAAAGAAAAAGAAAAAAAGGCAAAAAACATATAACATAGAGTATGATAGAAGACTACATGAAAAACAACACAAAGTTCTAATAGATCAAAACTTGGATAAAGGAATAGACAAAACATAAATTTCACTGAAGATAGAAAAGCAAAAACATGATGACAAAAACAAGAAGAGAAAAGAAAATAAACCTAAGATTAACAAAAAGAATCAGAAAAATTCTGAAGAAGCTCTAAATCATGCATATCGAAATGTGGGACTGAAGAATTATTCATCTATACATCATTCACATTCACAATCACAATCTGGTCACCAGAATCATTCATCTATACTATATTCACATTCACAATGACAATCTGGTCACCGGAATCATTCATCTATACAACATTCACCTCTTGCACCAAGCCCAGTGGCAACTGTCTCACCTGTGCAACAACAAGAACAACCTACAAGTAAACATTCATTATCTCCCTCCCAACAATGACAATCATTTAACCTTCAAATATCATTAACACACGAATATAAACCATTAATTACAAAACCAACTATCGAATTGCTTGATTCAACTAGGCTCTATCAAGCTGGCGATACAATCAAGGTCGGAGGACGTCTTTTAAAAACCGACGCCTTATCTATGAAGTATTGGGTGAATGATGATATAACCACTATCGAAACAACAAATGGCGGGCAAATACTCAACATGGCTGGCTATTCATATGTTGTTAAGAATCACGGAAAGTATTTCACGAAGCGAGAGTGTGAAAACCGTCGAAATCATCAATGTTCTTAAATACATATTCGAACATCCGATCCAAGAATTACAAGTTCATTTAAGATATATTCTATCCAGGAAGGTCACATACACGAATCAACACCCAATAATGGTTTAGTTCGTCAATTCAAACAGCGTGTTCGAAACCGATGTCGAGACGAATTATGTAGTCCCAAAACAGTGTATGATGACGAACTGAAAAAGGGAAAATATTCAACAGAAATGTTATCAGCTTTACCAACGTTTCACAACATACGTGAGTAAAATACAAACCTTCTATTCACTAAGTTTCTTCAAGATAAATAATATCTTTACTAGTCTGGTGACCAGTTTTCACAATGTCATAGTTTTCAAAAATGTGACATTAATAGAAAAAATAAATTTATGCTATCTAAGTGGGAATAGATAGTTTTTTTTTGAATTTAATAATTAAATAAGTTTCAATTAATTTCTTTTAGAATCTCAATTGTACCAGATATGACAAAATCATCTACCGAAATCTCCAATAACTTCAAATTTTGTGTTGCACCCAGGATTTACATTAATAGATCAAGGAGCACGTTTCTTATTATACGACTCCAATGCACTTGAAGTTCCATATGCACCAGCTCCGGCTAGCGTAGGCCGACTTATCATTTACTCAAGTGATCTTCAACTACAAATTCTATCAAAATCAAAACGTATCGCGAGCGATGGTACATTTCAAGCGACGGCAAACATCAGTCAACAAAATTACATTATTCTAGGAGAACACGAAGAAAATTATACTGGTAAGAGCGAATTTTAATCTGGTGACCAGAAAAATCTTTTCTGACTCGGACTATTCTATCGCATTATAGTTATTTCTATTTCCAGTAGTATTTTGTCCATGTGAAAGCAAATGTTATGAAACGTATCAATTAATCATACAACTATTGAAGATGAACATGAATAACATGAACTTATTATGAGAACCGACATGTTGGATGAGCGATTACGAAAACGCACTGGTGAAGGCAGTTAGAAAAGAAGTAATTATAGCATTCAATTCGATAAATTATTTTTTGAACTGTTTCTTAAGCATTCTTTATATATTATCTAAGTTCCGAAAGCATTATTCTGGTCATCTGATAATGACAATAACAATATAAACTTAAAAACTAGGAATATTCCAAATTCTTTGAGATATTATAGAAAAGCAAAATGTGGTGACCAGATTTACAACTTTACTTACTGAAACCTTATTTAATTTTTTAACTTTCCATTTTTAGTTGCCACGTACACGGCTTATTGGCTGTGCATTTCACTACGCTCAAACTGTTCATCGTAACATCCAAAGCCACGGACTTCAAGATGCATACCAAAATAATGAGCTCGTACGACAAATTCTTAGACAAACGATGGCTCTAGCATACGTGCCAAGTGATCAAATTCGAAAACTGTATTATGATTGTATTAAAGTACAACAGAATACTGTTCTAAAAGATTTTCGTAAAAATTTACGGAATTTTTTTAAATATTTCGAATCATTTTGGTTAAAAAAAATTCGTCAATTTTGTGTATTTAGTGAATCAATACGGACGAACAACGGACTAGAAGGTTTGCACTAGCTGTACATTTTTTCTTCTTGAAAACATTCGTTTGACTACGAGTAGAAGTAAATATGTGCTCTAATATAAGGATGTGGTGACCACATTGTGCATTCCTTTTAAGGATTTGGAACTTAGCAGAGTATATCTTTGTCAATCTTTCAGTTTTCTACTGTATATTAAAAAGAATACTCTCGCTGTAAAAGTACTTTTGATATTTGTTTCTAAATACAGTTGAATACTGCTGTCATTTTATTGATAGGATACAACAACAAGTTAAACGTTCAGTTATCAGCACATACACATCTTTATCGTTTTATCATATATTTCGAGAAAGAAGAACTACTAGTACAACAGCTAATTTCAAAAACTAATTCAAATATACCGCACAGTGGGCAACCAGGCGGACATGACCGATAGTTCTATTTTCCAAAGTTCAAATATTGGAGTGAATACGTCTATGGTCAATTTATTTCACCCTAAAACTAAATTTCCAGAAATCAAGTCATACTCCTAAAAATGCCCATCCTCAAAAATTGCTCATAAATCGATAATTATATGGAAACCATTATTTCTCTGAACTTATCAAAACATTTTAAAAAGAAAAACTATCTGAAACGAATGATTGACCCATAAGCTATATTGCATTAAAAAATTATTTCGATTGAACCAAAAATGGAATACAAAAAAAATTATTATTGGGCCCATACTATGTCAAAAAACAGGTCCGACTGTATTTTGTGAACCCTACAAAGAATTCTTGACGGACTGAGCTCAAATTTTTACCATCCATTCTCCTTTGGGTGATTTATCATTGAGCATAGCGCAATTTTGCATTAGTGAACACAGGCCGAGCTAGAGGCCTCCCAAAAACCCAGATTTCTGCCCCGGAATGGCTAGTTTTGAGAAGATGAGAACATTTTGACGCAAAACGAATGTGATATTCGGAATCAGCTCACGAAACTGCATCTAACCATATATAACAAGTAGTATCTCTCAAAAAAAAAGTGGGTCCCTAGGGACCAACAAGGTTTTGAAAAACACCCTCTCCGTATTTTGTCAACGCTACAAAGAGTTTAAGTGCAATCGATCTCAAACTTTCGCTAATTATTCTTCCATGTCTGATTCATCGTTGGCCATAGCGCAATTTAGTGGTGATGAGCTTAACCGGAGCAGTCATCCTATTCCGCAATGTTGAATATTTCAGGAATCAGTTCCGCTCCGGAATCGATTCCGTTCAATTACGGGAACTCGATCGACACATAATATCCGATACCCACTCGAAAATTGATCGAGTTCCGTCCAATTCCGGAATTGGTAGGAATTCCGTATAATTCCGGAATTGGTAGGAATTCCGGAATCGGTAGGAATTCCGTGTAATTCCGTAATTAGACGTAGTTCACGCAATTCCGGAATCAGTGGGAATCGGTAGGAATTCCCAGGAATTCCGTCCAATTCCACTGAATTCCGTCTTGATGCAATTCCCGGAATTCCGCAACGGAATTGGATCGTATTCAAACGGGATAACTTATCAGCACAACACAACAAATGTGGGTGAGGTGGATGGTGTGATAACTTATCAGTACAACACAATAAATGTGGATGAGGTGGATGGTGTGATTCCGGTGCGGAATTCCGGAATCAGAACCAATTCCCGCAATTCCGGAATCGGTGGGAATTGGCGGGAATTGGTAGGAATTCCGTGTAATTCCATAATTAGAAGTAGTTCACGCAATTCCGGAATCGGTGGGAATCGGTAGGAATTCTAAGGAATTCCGTCCAATTCCACTGAATTCCGTCTTGATGCAATTCCCGGAATTCCGTAACGGAATTAGATCGTATCCAAACAGGATAACTTATCAACACAACACAACAAATGTGGGTGAGGTGGATGGTGTGATTCCGGTACGGAATTCCGGAATCGGAACCAATTCCCGCAATTCCGGAATCGGTAGGAATTTCGTGCAATTCCAGAATCGGTCGAACTCGATCAATCTCGATTGGGTGTCTTATGTTGTGTGTCGATCGAGTTCCCGGAATTGGACGGAATCGATTCCGGTGCGGAACTGATTCCTTCAATGTTCAACATCGCGGAATAGGATGCATTCTCCTTAACCGGAGTTATGGGTCTCCCAAAAACCCAGATTTCTGCCCCGGAATGGCTAGTTTAGAGAAGATGGAAACATTTTGACGCAAAACAAATATGATATTCGGAATCAGCTCACAAAACTGCATCTAACCATATGTAATAAAGAGTGTTTTTTCAAAAAAATTTTTCGACCTATACGCAGGGAAAATTTAAAAAAAAAGTCATCTTTCCCGTTTGTCTTAAAACAGCATCCTAGCAAAAAACCAAGGTGATATTTCGAATCAGCGTGTAAAACTGCATCGAATGACATGCAAGAATACGTGCTTTTTAACAAAAAGTTTTTTTCAAAATTTTAGCTGAGGTCCTCCACAGGCATTTTTAAAGGAAAAATTTTATTTTTCGAACATCGTTTATTTCACTTAAGATGATGTTCTAAGTGATATATGATCATTTCCGATCTATAGGAATCGATTTTCAAGGAAAAAACCTACATGTCCGCCTGGCATACGAAAGTTGCTCACTGTGTACCGGTGCATAAGAGAAAGCAAACTGCAAAAGCCCGTCTTATGAATGGATCATTACAAGAATTGTGGAATCAGTACAATATAATGAATCTTAGTGCAACAGAATTACTGTTGGAAGCAGAGATGAGTACAGGACAACTTTTGATGTCCTGTCCTGTTCTTCTGTTCTGAGAATGTGTGGGTGAGGGTGTGGGTGTGGGTGCGGGTGCGGGTATGAGTCTTAATAAACTAAGAAAACCCACACCCACATCCTCAAGATGGATGGCGCTCTAATGTCAATGAATCACGTATTAACACTCAATCCCAGTCAAAATCAACCGAATATGGAAAGTCAAATAACACCTGAAACTATTGCTGATAATAATATATGTGGCACATCTTCAATCGATCAAGCTGAAGTTGAACATTTGTCTGATAAACAAACGGAATTGTTAACCAATGATGAAACTCCCAAAGATGTGGTATAAAATCTGGAGACTTGAGTTATTGAGAGCTGTACCCTTGCTCATACTCGCACTGTCTCACAACCTCACCCATATCTTAGCTTTCTCTTTGTTGAGTGTCGTATTTTGTTCTTCTTATTTATTTTATCGCATCTTGAGATATCGGCTTTTTGTAATCGGTAGAAGTCATTATTGTAACCTTCATTTAACAGAAAAATAAATAAATCTTGAGGATATGATTGATCTGATTAATCTTATATCCACACCCACATCACTTTTCCTGGAAGTCTATTATATTCGTGAGCTAACATTTACAATTCGACATTCATCGAATCTGAATCCTCCTGTTTTATTTCAAATATTTGTTCATTTATCTATATATAAACAGATAATAAGCTCAATCAATTTTGTATTTAATACTTTCACAGAAAAGAGTACGTTGTTGCCTGTTTTTTAATTACATTCTTTAGCTTATATTTATAAAAAATATTTTATTATTTTCTTAAAGAGAAAAATCTATTTTTATCTTTAAGCCTTCTTGTAAGTAATTCTCATATTAAAATTAAATTTAAAGAAAAGAATAATAATTATGTTATATAAATAATTGTCAAAAATAGATTTATTTCCATAAAAGTACATTTTTAATTTCATTTCGAAATGTTTTTGAAACGATTATATGTGTATAACAATTTATACAAAATGGAATATGTACACTAAAGATTGCAATATTTTTAATTAAATATACAGTTTGTGTTTGTGCAATAGTACTTGTTTGACTTTTTGTTATTTGTTCATATACAAGAGAACATGGCATTATAAAATCAAAAAGAATATAAGTTACAATATCGACAATTAGCATAAGAACAAATTGTCGATCTCTTGAACGCATAGAATTTGAATTTTGTCCTCCTACAACACGATTTGAACCTGAAACAGGTACAATTCTAACACGACGCATCGCTTGAATATTTCTTACTGATAACAAACCAAAGATAATTAATAATGATGGTATAAAAATTTCTTTCAAAATTGAAATATAAGTTAATATTAGAGTAAATTCACCTGGTTCAATATAACAATAAAAATAATTTGGTTCGATTTGTAAAATATTTGTAACGAATATGACAACAATTAAAATTAAGATATAAAATAATGGCTGAATTGCAATAGTTAAATAAGCTAGACGAAGAGTACTTATCTGTCTTATTCGAGCATGAAATGAAGTAATTAAAACACGATCAATCGAAGCACAAAGTAAATATGATGGACATAAAATATTGAAAAAAAATGCGAAATATAAACGGAAACGACAGTAGAATAAAGAATGTAAAGCAAGAGCGATATTATATCCTATTTCAAGTGTAAATGATAATAATGACACAAGGATAAATAATAAATTAGCAATATTAAATGCAATGAAATAAATGGAACATGTATTTTTTCGAAGATTTTTTCGAGTAAAAACTATTAAGCTAAGTACACAACTTACAATACCAATAATGATAAATATTGGACCAACATATCGATATAAATAAACCTGTGCTAATTGTAAATTAGATGTTGAAGATTCCATGGACATAACGGTCGCTATTTTTGAGTAAAACCTTATAAGAGAATGATAATTATGTATCGATGAGAACGCTTTTATAATGAAAAAAGAATATAATATTCAAAATCTTCACTTATCGGCTGAAAAGCTGCTTATTATAGAATAATTACTACATGGCGTTCTTTAATATGACTTTATATAGAAAAATGGCCTATAGGATTGAGAGTGTGGATGTGGATTGTTGGGTTTAGATATTCCTAAAAGAATTCAAGCGATTCTTTTGTGTGTATAAATAAAATAAATTCATACTATATGAGCATGATTAAAAAAAAGATGCAAATTAAAAATATAACAGAGATGTTCGCAGTGGCGTGTTAGCGTGTTCTTATTACCGTCGCAGTATAAGCGATAGAAAAAAAATCGTCTATTTTGTTTATTAATAATCTGTTTAAAAAGTAATTACAAAGGAATAGTTTAATTATCTTTGGTGAGAAAAGTCATGTTTTTAACGCACGAATAATTTTAAATAGAATGTAATTTTCTGATTAATGTAATGAATTCTGCTTCAAAAAAGACTATTGTATTCATTTTATCTTTTTTTTTTGTGATATACAAAGATGTCAACAATAACAACTCTTACTCTTGTTCAACAATATATTACTCGTTATGTATTATCAACCGCTCTTATATTAGGTAGTTTGGGAAATTTTATTGCAATAATTGTCTTTTCACAGAAAAAACATCGAACAAATTCATGTTCTATTTATTTAGTAGCAGTATCTATGTTTGGTTTATTGTCAGCTAATTTAGGTATTGCTCCACTTGTATATGCACTTGATCATTTCAATGCGATAAACTCTTCATTGGTATTATGTCGTGTTCGTGGTTATACTTTACAAGTTACTGCTATGTGTTTTCGTTATACACTTATTTTAATGTGTGTTGATCGATATGCATTATGTAGTTCTCGTGCTGCAATCCGAGCTCTTTGTCGACCACAAATTGCTTATCGATCAATTGGAATTGTGATCATCTTTTGGATGATAATGTCTATTCATTTTCTCATTTGGGAAAATATTGAAAATAATCTTTGTAGTCTTTATGGACTTTACGCGCAAATAATAGGTTTTTATAGTTTAATTTTAACTGGCACAATACCGATTCTAAGTATGATTTTAATTAACATATTGATCAAAAAGGCTTTACGTCAATTACGTACTCGTATTCAACCAATTGATAATACTAGACAAATAAGACAACGAGATATTCAATTCATAAAACTTATGATGGTTGAAGTAATTGTTTTCATAATATGTACAGCTACATATCCGTTAATGTTTCTCTATACAAATATATCGAATAGTATAATTTTAAATAAAACTAATGAACGAAAACAAATCGAAACATTCCTTAGTTTTATTACAATGTCAGTACTTTTATATATGAATTATAATACGATGTTTTTTGTTCATAGTTTTACATCGAAAACATATCGAATGGAAGTAAAAGAATTTATATTAAAAATAATTAGAAAATCGAGAGAATTTGTACAAAGTCAAGTGGATTCAGTACGAAATGCGAACTAATCATTAACAGAAGAACAAACACAAATTTATTATTATTTTTTTTTGCTTTTGATGTTGTTTATTACGATGTAAATCTATCTATATTTAAAACTAATGAGTTTAATTTTTATTTTATATTATTCCTTTATGAATTTTATCTTGCCGACAATAATTTTTGTATATCGCCAATGATCAACAGTATCTTGAGAATATATAAGTTATCTATGATGACAGTCATTTGATCATTTGTCAAAATGAGTCAATTCTATGAATTTATGAAATCTTCACTTTCAAAGTGTAAACAACGATAAGAATGATCTCATGTTGTACACATAGATGTATAAAGGCAAAATTATTAACGTAGTTTAATGGAAATGGTGTAGTAAACAATGTATTAAGCATGAATGGTAGGTAATTTCAATAGAATACATATTTTGTTTCCGAATCAATACTATAGCGTTGTCAAGCTAACAATTAATTATTTTTAAAGTAAGTCAAAACACTTGTTGTGTATTAAAAAGTAATCGATACACTACAAACGGAAATAAAAGAATAAAGAAATAGCTTAAGCAAAAGTGAAATAAAAACCCTTACATATAATTAACATTCCCATTTGTAACTAAAATCTTGTTGATTTTTTGTCTGATTTGTTATCCACACAATACCGTAAATTGATCTTCGATCATTTTTTACTTCTAATTTCCTTGTATATCAATCAAAAGATTGAAAATTGAAATAAATTTACGGTTTAAGAGAGAATATTCAACATCGTGTTGAAATTTAATTTTAATTTTGACTAACTATCTACTCAACATTATTCATTCTTTATATCAACTACGTAAAAGATTTAGTTCTTGTATGTATACTAATGAAAAGAAAGATATCAAGTTTGTTAGTTACTTTCTGTTTTAACTATTGTACGCTTCTGAAAAATAGAGATTGTGTTTCTAGGAAAAGCAATATTAAATTTCAAAATTGATTTTTCTTGTTGCTCTTCTGTCTTTAGATACTAACTGATTTTTAAAGCGAGGAATAAATGAATTAATAAGCACGAGAACAAATTAAATGCGTATAGAATTTATAAGTTGTCTTATTTCTTCATTATATTAGCAGAAAAATAGACTGTAGAAGATAAGAGATGCTATTAATAAAAGATATGTTTATACAATTGATTATTATATTTACCACTGGTGGATTATTAGGTAAGTATTCATGAATATTTCTTTTTTTTATTATAAAATTCGATTAGACCAGTAGAGATAAATCTTTCATTTCTAAAATCTAGATAAAAGCTTACCCTATGTTTCTCGGAACATATGAGAGATTTGTTCTGTTTTATTGGAAGACAGAAGAATATTAATGTGAGTGTGAGAGTATCGTAATCAACTGATATCCACAACCTGTCTATAGCATTGAGAGAAATCTAAGCTTCGTCATTCAATACAACGATTATAGTAGGACTATTGCCTTACTTACAGTATAAACACTTACTAACTATCACATATGTCAATTTTGAAGTAATAGTATTGCTTAGTATAGAGTATGTGCTGATTGTATCGTTCGAAAAAACTGCTGTCGACAGATACTTTTATCGGAAATTGAGATATCCTTTAAAAAAAACTTCATAAAAAGACTTTGTAATGTTTATTTAAACATACTCTAGAAAATATTGAATACTATGTGTTTCAATAGAAAAGCCACTGTTGCGAAGAGAGTTCAAAGATGAATCTTTTATAGAAGGATAATATGCATAAATTTTACTAAAATACTTCGTGTTGAATTTTTTGCGTCATGTTTGATAATTATATACATTGACGACTACTTTTATTCATGTACGTTCTGACAATTCTGCAACTAGATTGAGCTGCACTTCAACTATAATTTATAAGAACTTATTTAAATCATCTCTTTCTTTATAGAATCTGTTGAATTGTGCAATGTTAATAATACAATTGATGGCAAACCACTTCTCTTGATTACATTTGGAAATGGCACAGAAAATTTTTCTACGAAAACACCGCCCGACTTTAATTTTTCTACAAATCATAAACCAGGTAAGCCATCCAGGATAGATGCAGGTGAATTCGGTTTTATGAATAAAGTTCCTCAGGGTAATGATGATTGGCACGTGGGAACACCTGATCATACGGAGAATGATGATGGCGGGTATATGTTTTTGATCGATATTAACGAAAACCGAGGCGCTATATTATTCCAGTACAATGTCAGTGGTTTATGTGCTGGTCAACTTTATGAATTTTCTGCTTATTTAGCAAATGTTAAAAGGAAAGATCCAAGTGCTTTAGACCCAAATGTCCGCTTTCAAGTTCAAGTGCCGGTAAATAATAATGATTCCCTTGCACAAAAAGATACGAGCAATATATCTCAATGTGACCAGTTGATTTGGTTAAAACATTGTCTTTCGTTTAATGCATCAAATAGTACAGTCGTTCTGTTAATGACTTCAAATGTCCACGGTGGTAGAGGAAACAATATAGCCATTGATGATATTGAATTACGCCTTTGTCCAAATGAGGGATGTGCTCCCTGTTCGGCAGGTTAGTATAATTACCACTCTTCAAGCATAAAATGAGAATTTGTTTTATGTAAGAACGATTAAATAGATAATTTGATCGTATTTAAAATAGGGTGTGAGTGATATCTCAACCTCATATTCAAACTCTCATTCACACCCTCAAGATGGTATAAAACTAAATGATGTGCGATCCGATAATATATTACTGGTAGATTGACTTGTAATTCAACAAATATGTTGCCTTTTTCTAAATGCATTAGCAGTTTTGTGAGCAATCAATGAAGATTATCGACCGTTGTATCCCTAACAATAGCTAAAACTGAGTCTATTTTATTAAAATTGCATTATCTGATAACACAATCAGATAATTATAAATATTCTAAGGTTTTAATACATTCACTTCTTTCTTGAAATATAATAGTAATGGTAAATATTATTAAGAGATTAAAATAACTTTTGATAAACGTTGAATAGCGATTTATGATTTTTACCATCTAAAACAGATGATACAGTTGTCTCAAATTACGTTGGTCAGATCGTTGCAAGGATTTTTGATGAAACCCATTGTAAAAATATTTTAAAAGCGAAAGATTTTTTAGGAATAGAGGAAAGCAGAGTGCGAGTGTTAGTGTAGATGTGAGTGGGTGAGAGTATGGGTTTCTTCTATATCCACACCCACACCGACACTCAGAAGATGCATGGAAAGATCTATCAATTCTGATTAAGAACAAACGAAATAAATACAACATGATTTTCAAATGATATTTTCAAAAGAAAACAATTGTGCTATTGTCATGCTGTTTCGCTTAGTTAACATAATCTTACCATCATAAGCTATTATTCGAAAGATATTGATGATTTACCTAACCATGTGTCACTATCTAAACATATCATATTGTATTTGAAAAATTTTATTTTAAAACTAAATCCGCATACAAATACAATAAATAAATAATGCAAAAGACCAATTTAACTTACATTAGCCTTTATATTGAATGAAACTATTTGATATATATAGATTTAACAGCAGATAAATGCGTAGCTCCAACCACAACAACTACATCAACATCTACAACAACATCCACAACTTCAACTTCAACAATAACATTGACTACCTCAATGTCCACAACAACATCAACTACATCAACGTCAACTACAACATCAACTGCCTCAACGCCAATGACAACATCCTCAACCTCGACATCGATAACAACATCCACAACTTCAACAACAACATCGACTACCTTAACGTCCACAACAACATCAATCACATCAACTTCAACAGCAATATCAACTACATCAACGACGTCAACAACAAGAAATGTGAACACAGGTAATAGAGTTTTTTATTACTTCTTTTCGTCTATCTATATATAATTCATTTATATTTGTAATAGAAAGTACGATAAATGTTTTACCTACACTCATTTTGAATATTAGTATTACTAATATGTTGCAGGAAGAAGATTAGTAAGAGCATCTGTATTTTCGTGTCTTTCTAACGTCACTAAGAAATATATAGTGAACCTTTTGGAACACACATATTAATTATTCGAAATTTGTTTATTCTTCTGAAGTTGTATCATAATCAATGAATGAAAGATATTAATGAATACTCAAAATACTTATTTTACATAGATTATTAAAAAGTTAACTAAATTAAAAAATGAATATCATAAAATTTCTATTATTTGTCATTATGTCGTGTTCCAATATATAATAATGAAAGTGTAAAAATTGATCCGTATAGTTTTAAGAGAATAATAGAAAATGAATTCTTTTGCATTTTAAACAATAGTATTATACAGCAGAAACTGTTTTTAGTCATATATGTGAATAAATATCATTTTAATACTAAGAAATATATTTAGTAAATGAATTTATAAAGTTCAATTTATAAATGTTTTTGTTTTGAAAAACTTCTACAAACAGAGACGTTTTAATCGTTAAATATTGTATTTTTCAATTGTTTTTCTTCTCGATAGATGCAACATCACTTATAGCTACAGTACAAACAGAAAATTCAATCAGTTATTTTTCTTTCATTTCAGTTGTCGAAGAGTCGCCACTTTTTATTCCTAAATCTTGTGGTGATCTAACATCTATTGGTCTTAATTGCAACATCTCTGCTAGCCCATGTAAAATTGCAAACCTTTGTCAAAACGATGGCAACTGTACTGCTGATAATACAACATCCTATGGATACATTTGTTCATGTCCATTTGGTTTCCATGGTATAAATTGTGAACTTGATAATCGACTTTGTAAACCTCATATCTGTTTAAATCATGGTATACATTTTCTCTTTCTAAAATTTTCAATATCTATTATTTTTTTATAGGTAAATGTAATGAAACATCAGATACAACATTTGATTGTTTATGTGATAATGGTTGGGAAGGTATGCATTGTGAATCAATGACAAATTATTGTTCAAATATCACTTGCGAAAATAGTGCTATTTGCCGTCCATTATTACTTAATTATAAATGTGAATGTCTTAGTAAAAATTATTATGGTCGTCATTGTGAATTTAGTACAACGAAAATAATTATTTATAAAATAATTTCGAAATCATTTGCTTATATTGCTATTGTTGCAATGACAATTGTGGCAATGTTTGTTGTAATAATGGATATATTAACGTATTGCTTTGGTATTGATCTAACACGTGAAGAACGAGAAAGATTTCGACGAGAAAAACGAGGAAGAAGATGGAATCGTCTTGTTAACCGAAATCTTATATATGTTAATGCACTATCAGAACCATTTGAAAAATCGAAGACAATTACTGTTAAGAATAGAGTTTAAAACTAACCTCAATGATTTTATAATTTATCTCGTTTTACGTTGTATTCTTCAATATGCTTTAGTATATATGTAAAGCTTCCGTATTCGTCGAGTGGGTGTGGGAATTCTACTTCATGCATACCCACACCCTAAATTACTCATTTTTATTGTCTAGTTAGTTCTTTTTTTAGTATAATAAGTTTTTTCATTGCATAATGATATTATTTATTTAATCATATTCTACACAATTTTTATGTTGTTCGTCATTTATATATTGTATGTAATAAAATTTCTCATTCTGCCAAATACTTATCGTCAAACATCTTGAGGGTGTGGGTTAAGAGAAGATAAATACCTGCTGAGATTAATTATTATCTTACTTCTTGTTGATTTTAGAACACGTGAATAACATATTTGGAGAAACACGAAGAAGAAAAAAATACTACTGATATGAAAGAATGATGCAAATGATAATATGGCTCATGAATGTTTGAATAATGTCTTTCATACTAGTTTTATTATATTATCTATCGGCTATATTGCTTCATAAGTAAAGATCACAATTTGTTTTCTACTTTCTGGATAAACCCAACTCATTTGGTTAAAAAATGACAAAAATATTTAAAATTTTCCGTGACTAGTGGATTTCCGGACATTCTATATATGTAGCCTTAATTGAGCATCAGGTTCATATTGATAATTCGAATTATGATACACCCGAACCCGCATCTTCAAATCCTATAAATAACTTACAGAAATGGGAATCGAGAAAAGTTGTTCTCGTAGGACTTTAGTTTAAAAATAACGAAACTCAAAAACTCTTTTTTTATTGTTATTTCATCATTTCTCTATGCAAAGAATTTCATCAATATAACATACATGACACCATTCTCTTTCTATTCACTGAAAGTTTGATGATGACGTTATAAGATAAATACTAAAACATTTATAGGATAATAAAGTCGAAATAACAATGTAAGACATGAGTCAGTAGATAATAATTCACATATATTTTATATAAAAAGGTACTGACATGTTGTTTCGAAAGACTTTGTAAAATACAATAACGTATTATGAAATTTGAATTATTACCAAATGAAATTTTACTTGATTACTTTGGATATTTCAATGCATTGGATCTCTTTTATGCCTATGATGGATTAAATTATCGTTTAAACAAATTAATTCGAACTTTACCATTACATCTTAATTTTCAATATGCAAATAAATCAAAATTTATTGAATTTTGTCGAACAATGTCATTAAATGAGGAACTGAAGAATCGAATCTATTCATTACATTTATCAAATCAAGAAATAGATTTTCAAATCGAAGCATTCCTTTCATTTTTTTCACTTAATCAATTCACTAATCTTCAATCATTGTCTATAACCGAAATTAATTTCACTGATAGTACAAAAATAATATTCATGTTATCATCAATATCAAAACTACAAACATTATCAATTATTTCTTCACCTTTTCTATTCAATGCCATTAATGAAACATTATTCATTAAAAATCTAACAATTTCTTATTGTTTTTTAACTAAATTATATCAATTATTACAACATATGCCTATATTAAAATATTTAAATATTCAATGTCTTAATGATGACGGATATTCATATGATACAAACAGATTAAATGATACTCCATGTGCCATTCATTTAAAAGAATTAATTATCGAAAATTTACAATGCAGACTTATGAATTTCGAAATATTTGTAAAAGAAATACCAAATTTACAAATTTTAACAATATCTGCAAGAAATAACAATGATATGTTTGATGCTAATCTATGGGAACAGTTGATAAGAATTCTATTAGCTCATTTAATTACTTTCAATTTTAATTTTGGTTGTATTTATAAAGATCATTACAATATTATACTTAACAAATTTCAAACTAATTTTTGGCGAAAACAATATAAGTGTTTTACTGAATATATGGCTGATAAAAAATCAATATTTATTTACACAACACCTTACATATCAAATAAATTTAGATTAACATCAAGTACAACAAGATATAATAATACTATCATTGATAAGTCTGATGAATCTGATGATCGAATCATAATCAAGAAACTAAGAAAATCTTCAACGGATCAGCAAGTCAATATAGGAGGATATCAATATATAACTACAGGACATACACAGATAATATCGGTTTTAGATATACGAAGTCCAACAAATAGAAAATTGAAGAAAAGAAAGAGAATAGAAAATAACGATTATAATAAAATCGACATTTTCAAAAATGTAACAGATTTAACACTACATTTGGATATATTAACAAAAGAATGTTCATATTACTTTGCAAATGTTACATCATTAAGATTAGTTCCATCGGAAAAATTAGAACATCGTACTCTTACAAATCAACATATTCGAATTTTAAAGACAATTATAAATTTATTTAATTTAAAACAGTTAAATATTGGACGAATATATGGAATAGAAAATTCATTAGTCTTATTAGAAATATTAAAACAATCACCAAAATTATCGTCAATAGAATTTATTCCAAAAGCTATTATACAATTATTTAATAATGGTGAATTATGTAAGTATTTAAACAAAATGATTAAAAAAATAATTCTAAGGGATTATTTTGAAAGTTATACTACTAATTCAGAAAAAATCAAACAATTTTGTCAAATATTTTCTAATATTGAATATTT